CTGCAATACCTTCTCCTCTACTCTCCTCTCAGGATCTTGGGCACGCACACACACGTGCCCAGTGTGAGTTTTAAGTCACCAGGTCCAGGACTCGAACTGCGGTTGACTACATGGGAGTCCAGCGACATAGCCATTACACTAACTGCTGGTCCCAAAAGGAGAAATTCTTTAAAAAATCTATTTTTAAATAATTATTTTGCTCTCTCTCATGGCCTCGCTCCCAAGATGACGAAGCAAAGAAGGAACAATGGCCATGCTAAAAAGGGTCACTGCCATGTGCAGCCTATTTGCTGCACAAACTGTGCCCGATATGTGCCCAAGGACAAGGCTATTAAGAAATTCATCATCTGAAACATAGTAGAGCTGCAGCTGTCAGGGACATCTCCGAAGCAAGTGTCTTCGATGCCTATGTGCTCCCCAAGGTGTACGTGAAGCTACATTACTGTGTGAGTTGCACCATTCATAGCAAGGTAGTTAGGAATTGATCTTCTGAAGTTCGGAAGGACCGAACATCCACACCCCAATTAGACCTGCGGGTGCTGCCCCTTGCCCTCCACCAAAGCCCACATAAGAGGCTGAGTCTTTAAGGACTGAAGAAATGTCCTCAGTTAAAATAAAATGCAAATTATGAAACAAAATAGTTATTGTATTTAACTGTATTTATTTATAAAGAATGATTTATTTAACTTTATTTTAATTTGACCAGAGAGAAAGAGAGAGAGAAAGTGAGAAAGCAAGCTTTCGGGTCTGGGACTTGAAATGTGGTCAGCCATGTGGGAGTCCAGCGTCCTTAACCACCATGCCACCTGCTGTCCCCAATTTACTTATTTATTTTTAACTTGGTTAGAGAGGGACAGAGAGAGAGAAACTGAGAAAGCAAGCTGCCAGGTCCGGGACTTGAACTGTGGTTAGTACTATGGGAATCCAGCACCTTTAACCACCATGCCACTTGCTGGTTTGTTTTTTGTCTTTTGTTTTTTAAATTTTTTTTGAATGCATATTAAAACTACTATACCAGGCCAGCATATACCATGTGGGTAAGGTGCTATACTCCATGTTCAACCATGGTTTGAGTCAAGGATCTGGTAGCTTTCTCTCTCTCTCTATGGTGAGAACACGAGCCCTAAAGCAAATTAAAAATAATAACAGGGGCCAGCAGGTGGCATGGTGGGTAAGGGTGCTGGACTCCCACATGGCTGACTGCAGTTCAAGTACCAGACCTGGCAGCTTGCTTCCTCACTTTCTCTCTCTTGCGCTCACTCTCTTCCTCTCTGGTCAAACTGAAATAAATTAAAACATAAGATAATAAAGTTAAAATAATTCTTTAAAAAATAATAAATAAATAATTTTAAAATCACTACACCATCCATTGAATTCTTTTTTACTTTATTTCTTTTTATAGGGTATATACACTTGCCAGAGACAGACCGTGATGAAGTCTGTCTCTGGAGAGAAGGAAAGTGAGAAAGCACTCCCTGGGGGGTGACCACACCTCAATTCCCTCTCCTCTCCTCTCCTCTCGGGATTTTGGGCATGCATGCACACACGCCCAGTGTGACTTACGAGCCACCAGATCCAGGATTTGAACCACCCAGTTGGCCACATGGGATCCCACTGCTTTAAAATCCATTCCATCCGCTTCTCCGTGGATTTTTAATTTTAGTATTATATTTTCTATTTCCAGAAGTTCTACTTTGGGTCTTTTCCAATTTCTCTTTTATTGTTTTCTTTTTACTAGTTGGATATTGTTGTATAACAGAAGTACTTTAAAATTTAGTGACTTAAAATAACCATTTATTTAGCTTGCAGTTCTGTGGGTAATTTGTACTGGGGTTATCTGGGAGGTTATTCCCTAGACTCTATTATGTGTCTGTGGTCAGCTGTGCTAGCTACGTAGCTTTGTTGGTAGGCATTTGCTGACTGTTGGCTAAGTATTTTTGTTCTTCTCCATTAATCTCATCTTTTACATGTTTCTCCTTTATCTCTAGCAGAATAGCCTGTGTTTGTTGTCTTGAAGGATGTGAGGGTTTGAGAAAACAGATGTAGACAAGGCCTCTTGAGGGCTAGGCTTGATATTAACAGGCTTTTTTTTTTTTTTTTGGCGGGGCAGGGGGATTCTTTTTTTCTTTTTGAAGAGGTTTTCGCCATAGGGCGCGTGTGCTCACCAGACAGACAGAGAGAGACAGAGAGACAGAAAGCGAGAAATCACCCCTCAAGGGGGATGGCCATGCGGCAATCCCTTCCCCTCCATTCTTCTCCTGGGATCTTGGGCACGCATGCACACGCGTCTGGAGTGAGTTTAAGCCACTGGGTCCGGGATGCAAACCACGGTCGACTACATGGGAGTCCAGCGGCATAGCTATTACGCTAACTGCTGGTCCCAGTGGGGGAAGCGGGAGATTCTATTAGCCACCATTAATCTAGATTAAAGAGGAGGGGAGGGGCCGGCAGATGGCATGGTGGCTAAGGGCGCTGGACTCCCACAAGGTTGACTGCAGTTTGAGTCCTGGACCTGGTGGCTTGTTTTCTCATTTTCCCTCTCCCTCACTCTGTCCTTCTCTGGTCAAATAAAAATAAATGAATTAAGTTAAATAAAATTAAGAATAAAAAAAGAGGAGGGGAAACAGGTCCACCTCTTTATGAGAGGAGCTATAAAGTCTTATTTTTAAAAACATGGACCCAGGTCCTCTTTTCTGGCTGGAACCATGGATGGCGTTCAAGAGAAGAAAAAGAAGGTTCCTGCTGTGGCAGAAAGGATTAGAGGTAACAATGGAGTGAGCCCAAAGGTTCAAAAGGTGTTGCAGCTTCTTCGTCTTTGCCAGATCTTCAATGGCACCTTTGTTAAACTCAACAAGTCCTCAATTAACATGCTGAGAATTGTGGAATCATATATTGCATGGGGGTACCCAAACCTGAAGTCAGTAAATGAACTGATCTACAAACGTGATTATGGCAAAATCATTAAGAAGCAAATTGCTTTGACAGATAACTCTTTGATTGCTCGATCTCTTGGTAAATTCGGCATCATATGCATGGAGGATCTGATTCATGAAGTCTATACTGTTGGAAAATGCTTCAAAGAAGCAAATAACTTCCTTTGGCCCTTCAAATTATCTTCTCCACGGGGTGGAATGAAGAAAAAGACCACCCATTTTGTAGAAGGTGGAGATGCTGGCAACAGAGAAGACCAGATCAACAGACTTATTAGAAGGATGAACTAAGTATCCACCATGATTGTTTTTGTAAATAAACAGTGGCTGTTTTCAGACTGAAAAAACAAAAACAAAAACAAAAAACCATGGATCCAGGGAAGTTTGAAGAACTTGTGGTCTCTTTTGAATTAATCTTCCACAGACATATGTGGCCTTTTATAGTCTTTTCTTTTCTTTTTTTTTTTTTCTTTTTTTTGGGGGCGGGGAGAGGTTTTTGCTATAGGGCACGTGCACTCACCAGAAGACAGAGAGAAGCAGAGAGATAGAAAGCGAGAAATCATCCCTAGGTGGGATGGCCATGCCACAATCCCTTCTCCTTCATTCTCCTCTCGGGATCTTGGGCATGCATACACACGTGCCTGGTGGGAGTTCAAGCCACTGGGTCCAGGACGCAAACCATGGTCAACTCCATGGGAGTCCAGCGACATAGCCATTACACTAACAGCTGGTCCCATATAGTCTTTATCTAACATATGATGCTAGATATCTGATGCCTTTAGAGGCCACTTTTTGTTGTTTGATGACTTTTGCCTAACAATCTAATTTTCTTTTGTGTATAGTTATCTTTTGCAGTATGCTGGACATTTTATATGAAAAAAATACATATGGTAAAAACTTGAATAGTATAATATAGTATTTTTGTCTAAAGAGAAGGTACTACTCCTCCTTAACTCAGTTTTTCTTTCTACTTTTAGCAATCACTGTGTACAGATGAAGAGGACTAACTGTATTTTAAACAACAGTGACAGAAGAATTTCCCTGTGAAAGATGTCTCACTTCACAGAATTCCCTTCACTTGTCTATGGAGTGGACCCTGATTCTTGCCAGGAATCAAACACTTCACTTACAGAGGCAGGTCAGATTCTCTGTCACTAGCCTTACAGTTCAATTCTTATTATTCCCTTATATGCCATTTTATATACTTTTTTGAGAGATTTTTGCTATAGCGTGCATGCACTCACTGGAGAGACAGCAAAAGACAGACAGAAAGCGTGAAATCACCTTCCAAGGGGGATGCCCCCGCCAAAGTCCCTTCTCTTCCATTCTTCTCTTGGGATTTTGGGCACACGTGCAAATGTACCCAGTGTTGATTCAAGCTGCCAGGCTGGGACTGGAACCACAGTTGGCCATGTGGGAGTTCATCGAAGTAACCATTATGCCATCTGCTGGTCCCTATATGCCATTATATTAAACAAAACCAAACAATTTCATTTTCCAAATGTGTGTTCTAGTTTTCTGCCTTCATCCAAGTCTCTCCACTTGGGAGGCTCATTTACCAACTTCGCTCTCCCAGTAAAATTATCCCAAGACCATATACACCCCTTTCAAGAAGCCTTCCCAAATGAATGTTTTTTCCTCTTTGAATCCTCTTAGCAGTTGGTACTTTTTAATGGGCCTTTCTGCCAGGAAATTACTTGTGTATTTTTCTCCCGATAGATTGTGGAGAGCATAAACGTTATTTTACCTGCCTACACTTCCGTTTCTTCATGTGAAAAACGTGCATAGTAATAGTACACATCCTACAGGGCTGTTGTGAGGGTTCAATTGAAACGATATTTCTAAAGAATGATAGTGAAACGTTCAAACAGTACCCATTGCTACCATTACTTAGGAACAGTGTGGTTTCGATGGAGGAGTTTTCACTAATGTGAAGGAAAAGAGCACCCTAAGGACTAGGTTTAGTAATTCTACTAAATACCTGCGATAACGAATGAAAAAGCGCATAAAAATGTACCGCTCCAGGTGGCGCCTGCGCAGAGCCACCGTGGTGGTGGTGGTGGTGGGGGGCAGACAGCGGGCGGGCGCAGAGCTGCCGGGGCGGTGCGGCGCATGCGCGCAGCGAGCAGCACGTGCGCGGGGCGGAGCCTGCGGCGCTTTGAGTAGCGCTGGGTCCCAGTACTCACGCTGTTACTGCGGAGCTGTGCTGGCGAGTGGAGGTTGCTGTCTGGGTAATGGATTTTGAGAATCTTTTCTCAAAGCCTCCTAACCCGGCTCTCGGCAAAAAACCGGCCACCGACTCTGACGAAAGGTGATCCCACATCTTTTCATACTTTGAATGCAGGGGCCCGGCAGGGCTCCGCCTCTTCGTTCCTTCTGCTCCGGCAGCTCTGCGAGGGCCCGCGGGGAGCGCATGGACAGGAGCATGGGTCGGATTGGTCTAGCAGTCCAGCATCTAGAGATCTTGCGGGGACAGGGGGGAGGGAAGTCAGAGATGGGGCCCAGGTCCAAGCTACGTAGAGCCTGGGTGAGGGGAGTGGTGGTTTCGGGGCTAGAAGGCTCCAGGATACCCCACCTCCCCGGTTCTCTGCACATCTGACCCCTGGGCGGGCTGGACGCTTGCCCCTGTGCCCATAGCACGTGTCATTACCACTATTGCCTGTTTCCACTAGTCCTGAGCTCCCCAAAGGACAGAGATAATTTGTGATTTTCCACGGACTTGATAGGCTTTTTTTTGGTAGAAATTACAAAACCATGAGTTCATTGAAAGGGTAAAAGATAAGGAGTAAGTACCCTGCCATTAATCCACTGATTGGCATTAAAAATTAGACACTTTAGTAAAGCAGCAAACACAATGTGGACTTAATACTGCCTTTAGGTTAAAAAGGTAAGGCTGGTGGCTAAATGGTGCTAATTTATTTATGTCATTCTTGGAGACTTGTATAATTTGTTTACACCCAAATATTCATTTACTTTCTATTCTTTGAGTTTGAAGTGCCAGAAACCATCCTCTCTCCTGAACTGTGTCTTCCATGTTCTCCAGTTTCCCTAAACTGAAACCTTGACACACTTTATTTCCTTATTTACCCCATCCCAGAACTTTCTCACTTTTGGTTGATTTGACGTCTTGGTATCACATATATGCGTTCAGTTTTTTACATCTCGAATACTGTAATGATTAAAACTATTACGGTAATTCAAGCTACCATGTAGAGCTCTTCTATGGTGCTTTACTTGAAATATATAGTCCTCATAACTACCTGAAGAGAAGATGATGCCATCATTTTATAGATGAGAAAATAGAGACATGGAGAGGTTTAATCATCTTATAGGTTGCACAGTGACTTTGGCAAAGCTAGGATTAAGTTGCCCAAAGCTAGGATTTAGTTACGCAGTCAGCCTTTCTCCATGGATTTTATCACTGAACGTGACCTATGATTTTATCAAGGAGGTTCTAGTGGAAAATGACTAAATAAAGGGCCAGCAGTTGGCAAGGAGGTTAAGGTGGCTGGATCTGACATGTGGACTCTGGGGTTTTAGTCTTCCATCAGGCAGCTTAAAAATCACACAGGACATGTGTGCATGCATGGCCTTGTGGAGTAAGTTTTCACTTTCCCTCTCCCTCTCAGGTGAGCTATTGCACCCTATTGCAGAGACTTTAAAAAAAAAAAAAGACCTATAAATACTAGAAAGAGATGACAGTACTTGCAGAGGGTTTGATGATCTACTAGGAAAAACAAGAGGATCCAACTGATAAACTATCAGCGTACATGAGAATCCAATTGCCTGAGTGAAGGAAGAATAGTAGGACTGGAATTCTGAGAGGCATTGGGGTACTGCTGGGGAGGTAAATCATGTGGGGACATGTACATGCCATAATAACATTGGCTCTTACCTAAACTGGAACAAGTGGTCACTGGAGAGTTTTCAGCAGGAAGTGACATCAGGCATATTTTAACAAGGTTTTCCAGTTGCGTTCAGAGTGGAATCTAGGAGGGGAGGAAGAGCAGCTGGGATCAACGTGTTAGTGGCAAGAAGTGGTCAAATATAGACATATTTTGAAGAAAACACGAACTGAATTTCTCCCTAGATTGAATAGGGCATGGGAATCTAGATCAACTTTACAGTTTTGGTCAGTGTCATGAGAAGGAATGGAGTTGTTTCAGATAGCAGAAAGATTAGATTTCAGAGAGAAGATCAAGAGTTCAGTGTTGGATATATGAGAATTATATCTAGTAGGTACCCAGGTATGAGTAGGACATAGGAGGGACCTAGATTGGAGACTTGAATATTGAAATCAACTACCTATGGGTGGTATTTGAAGCTGCGAGGTAGGAGATCACTTAGAATGAGAGTATTTGATTCTTGAGACAAAAGAGCAGAGGTATGAGAATCGACTATTAAAGTTGTAAAGATGAGAACCCAACAAAGGAGAATGAGGAGTAGCAGCCCTTCAGGAAAGAAATAACCAGGAAGCTTAGTATCCCTGGAGTTAAGAACATGTTTTATGGAGGAGATGGTACTCTGTCCCATCCTGCTCAGAGGTCAGGTAGTATGGGGACTAAAGACTCATATTCTGGAGTAGGCAGAGTAGAGTAAGTGGTTTTAGGGCTCACATCCCAGCTCTACCATGTACTAGCTCTGAGACAAGTTACACAGCCTCTCTGTATTTCAGTTTTGTTGTCTGTAAAATGGGTTTTATAACAGAAATAATACACATAACAACAGGGTTATTGTGTTAACCCCACAGTGTGTATTGAGTAGTGCCTGGCATGGAGTAAGCATCATGCAAGTGTTGGCTGCTGCTGTTATTGCTCCTGTGGTCATTGTCATTATTGGTCTGCCCAAGGACAAGTTTTCTACTCCATAGATCATTCCATACCGAAAATTAGAGCACTAACGGTTCACAGGTATTTGGGTTTTGGGCTCTTGTGATGGTAGCTTCTCTCTCTCTCTTTTTTTTTTTTTTTTGGAGACGTTTTCTCTATAGGGCGCGTGTGCTCGCCAGACAGACAGACAGAGACATAGAGACAGAAAGCGAGAAATCACCCCCCCGGGGGGATGGTCACACCGCAATCCCTTCTCCTCCATTCTCCTCTTGGGATCTTGGGCACGCACACACATGCACCCGGCGTGAGTTTTAAGCCACTGGATCCAGGACGCGAACCGCGGGCGACTATGTGGGAGTCCAGCGACATAGCCATTACGCTAACTGCTGGTTCCCCGTGGTGGTAGCTTCTCTAGAAGGCTCACAACCTGGTACCCCATCTGAGGGTTGAAATTCAGGAGTCAGAGATGAATGTAAACTGTTGAATTGGATGAAGCTTAAAACCCGAGTTTCTGTAATTTTGAATGAAGCAGAAAGCCACTATTCACATTCTCCTTGTGATAGCAGTGCTTTCCATTTGTAACATGTACTCTTGAGAATGGACTTTTTTTTTTTTGAAAGAGAGGTTTTTGTTATAGTACATACGCCTGCCAGAAAAACAGAGAGAGACAGAAAATGAGAAATCACCCTCCAGGGGGATGGCCATACAGCAATCCCTTCTCCTCCATTCTCTTCTCAGGATCTTGGGCATGCACACATACATGCCTGGTGAGAAGTTAAAGCAGTGGGTCCGGGACTTGAACTGCAGTCGACTACATGGAAGTCCAGCAACATAGCCATTATGTCATCAGCTGGTCCCCTCAATCATATTTTGATTTAAAGCTTTTTCCAATCTTGAGTCCAGTGGTCACTTAACTGAGATACTATTTTCTTTAGCCGTCTATAATTCTAGTATCAACCTTTCTTTTGGGGGGGGAGTGGGAGAAGTTTTTACTATAGGGCACGTGTGCTCGCCAGAAAGAGAGTGACAGAGAGACAGAGAGGGAGAGATCGCCCCCCAGGGGGATGGCCACGCCACAATCCCTTCTCCATTCTCCTCTCGGGATCTTGGGCACACACGCACACGCACCCAGTGTGAGTTTAAGCCACCAGGTCCGGGACTTGAACTGCGGTCGACTACATGGGAGTCCTGCAACATAGCCATTATGCTAATTGCTGGTCTCGTATCAACCATTTTTAAAACTCACTTAGAAATTTTGTTGGCTTCTTTGTTCACCAGATGCTTACATTTTCCAACTTCATCTTTCTTGGGTTCATTTGTAGTTTTGTTGGAATGTCCTCAAGTAACTTCTCAGAAAATGTCTAAACTTGGTCAATTTCTCAGTCCTCATGAATCTGAAAGCAATTTTTTTCATTTTTAAAACATAAATATGTTTGTTTCTTTTCTAACCTCAGAAGGCACCCTGCCTTCTACTTGAAACACCCTTTCCCTTTACATTTCTGTTTGTTTCCTAATTCTTACATATCTTTTAGGTTTAGAAAACCTCTGGCCCTCAAGTCGAGTTAAGCGTTTCTCCTATGTGTACTTATATTTATCATACCATATTTTAAAAGTTTTTTTTTTTTCTCCCAAGCAGATAGAAAGCTCTCAGAATGAAAAGACAAAGTTTGTATTTTTCATTGTTGTATCCCAGGTAATAAGACCCAGAACCTGGTATATGGTGGATTGTCCCGACCCGGGGGGACAGCCGAACAGGTTTCCTGAGTGAAGGAGTGAGAGCCGGGACAAGCGGCGTAGTGTTACAGCACGGAGACGACAGTGTCGTCCGTTTATTGTGGGCAGCACGGTACAGCACAGAGACGACGCAGTGTCGCGTCGTCTACTGTGAGCAGCACGGAGATGACGCGGTGTCACAGCTCTTCAGGGTCGTCCAGAGATGATGTAGTGTTACAACTCTTCAGGGTCTCCCAAGTCGTCTGGAGACGATGCAGTGTCAGCTCTTCAGGATCTTCAGGGTCGTCTGGAGACTGCGCGGTGTTTCAGCTCTTCAGGCTCTTCAGTTGTCGTCTTCCTGGTTGTCGTTGTCCTGGTCATTGTCGTCTTCTCGGTTGTCTGTGTCGTCTTGGTTGTCTTCGTCGTCTTGGTTGTCTCTGTTGTCTGGCTACTGTGGGCCAGGCATCGTGGTTATATACACTCTGGTGGGTTGTAAACGGTGGGCCGTGATTGGTTGTAAAAGGTGGGCCCTGGTTGTAAACGGTGGGCTGTGATTGGTTGTAAACAGTGGGCTGTGATTGGTTGCTTTTGAACCAATCATGAGGTGCTGGATATGCAAATTTGAGGGATTCTAGTGGCCAATCAGAGCAAGGTTTCGAAGGTCAGGTTTTTGGAAGGGAACCAATCATGGTAATTGTTTGCTCTCTGAGAAACCTCGGCAGACTCGCTGGTGCACAGCCTCCCACAGTGGATACTCAGTATTTTTTAATTGACTGGAATGATGAATGAATGGATGATTTATATAGCTGCTAATACTTGAATATCTAGGTTACATAACCTGAAGTTTCAGTTTTACAGATTGTTTGTAAGTGTATATGAATATTTACTGCTTACCATTTTGTATACAATTTTGTACATTATCTGTAGTTCATATTCTACTGCAAATACTCTAAATTTTACATAAATCTCTAGTATTTGAAGTAGAATTTGAACTTGGAATTTCTTTAAGAGGAAATTGAAGATAAGCCGAAGTAGTATTTTTGTTTTTGTTTTTAATGGCATAGTGTGAATATTTTTCAGGTTGTTATTTGATATTTTTCCTACAGAATCCATGATGAACTAGATGATGCAGAAGTTGAAGAAACACATAATACTTGAATATCTAGGTTACATAACCTGAAGTTTCAGTTTTACAGATTGTTTGTAAGTGTATATGAATATTTACTGCTTACCATTTTGTATACAATTTTGTACATTATCTGTAGTTCATATTCTACTGCAAATACTCTAAATTTTACATAAATCTCTAGTATTTGAAGTAGAATTTGAACTTGGAATTTCTTTAAGGGCAAATTGAAGATAAGCCGAAGTAGTATTTTTGTTTTTGTTTTTAATGGCATAGTGTGAATATTTTTCAGGTTGTTATTTGATATTTTTCCTACAGAATCCATGATGAACTAGATGATGCAGAAGTTGAAGAAACACAAGAAGAGAAAATAAAATGGGAAGTAAAACTGGAGTATGAGCCAATTCCCAAAAAAGTAAGATGAAGTTGATACATTGGAAGGAAAACAGTTAAGAATGGATATGAGCTATTCCTAAAGGTTTCCATTTGTTTCATTTTAGTCAGTATTTAAGACCTACTTAGTTACATCAAGGAATCCTAGTTATATTTTTGAAAAAGTTTATCTTTCAGTAACTTTGCAGTCATTTGACATTAACTGTTTTTAGTAATTGTTTTCATTTGGATTTTTCCTGTTTTCTGAAATGGATTATAAACTTTTTCAAAAACTTCTTTCCTTTCAAATTAGTACTATTATTTTGACCTTTGCCATAGGGTGTTCGATGTAGAGAGACAATGAGAGAAAGTGAGAAATCACCCTCAGGGAGGGTGGCCACTCTCAGACCCTTCTCCATTCTCTTGCTGGGATCCTGGGCACGCACACACACATCTGGTGTGATTCTAAAGCCACCAGGTCTGAGACTTGAACCATGGTTGACCATGTGCAATTCTAGCACCTTAACCACCATGCCACCTGCTGTTCCCTCAAAATATATTAAAAAATTTTGAAGTTTTTTAAATTTATTAAGTTAATAAACCTTAGCAATTTATTACTTCAAGCCTGTATTTGTTTCCTAGGGCTGACATAACAAAGTATCCCTGAGTGGCTTAAACAACAGAAATTTATTGTCTCACAGGTCTGGAAGCTAGAAATCAGAGATCAAGGTGTCAGCAGGGTTAATTTCTGAAGACAGTGAGGAAGAATGTGTTCGATTCCTCTCCACTGCCTTCTGGTGGTCCTTGGCACTTTTTGGTGTTCCATGGATTGTAAAGGCATCACCCTGTTTTCTGCCTTCATGTTTACCTGATGGTCTTCTGTGTGTGTGTATTTGTATCTGAATTTACCCTTTTAATAAGGACATCAGTCATACTGAATTAGGGCCCCTTAATGACTTCATCTTAATTAGACCTACGTGGCCCTATTTCCAAATAAGGTCATGTTCTGAGGAGTTAGGACTTCAGCATTTGAATTCTGGGAGAGCCCATAACAAAGCCAGTGTCTGCTCTTCTCCTGCCTCTTTTTATCATTTTAAACTTAGTGCACACACTCACATGGACATGTAGTATCTTTTTAGACATTGTCTCTTTATGTTGTGATCCTCCTGCTTCAGCTTCATAAGTAGCTGGGATTGTAGGTGTGCACCACCACACCTGCTTTTTTTTAGATGGGATTTTGCTATACTGCCATATTAGCCTCAAACTAGTAATCCTGCCTCAGCCTCCCAAGTGGCCCTGACTACAAACATGTAGCACAGTGCCTGAATTTTTTTATTTTTTATTTTTTATTTTTTTTATAATTTTTGCTATAGGGCATGCACATGAGAGAAAGAGAAAGCAAAAGTGAGACGTCATCCCCCATGGGGGTGGCCATGCCACAATCCCTTCTCCATTCTCTTTTTAGGACTTTGGTTATGAATGCATATATGTCTGGCATGTTCCAGGGTCTCAAAACAGGCTGTCAGCCATGTGGAATTCAGCCACCTTCACAACCACACCACTAGCTGGCCCCCAAATTTCCTTCTATTTCCATTTATTCCATAGATTGTAATTTAACTATTTAAGAACTTGCTCTCATTCTGTTTTTTTGTGATAGCCTCCACACATTGAATATAATATTGATATTTTTGTGCATTTATTTTTAAAATTTTCAGTTCGTGGGGCCAGCAGTTAGTGTAATGGCTATGTCACTGAACTCCCATGTAGTTGACTGTGGTTTCAGTCCTGGACCCAGTAGCTTAAACTCATGCCAGGTGTGGGTGTGTGTGTGTGTGTGTGCATTCCCAAGATCCTAAGAGGAGAATGGAGGAGAAGGGATTGTGGCGTGACCATCTCCACTGGGGTGTGATTTCTTGCTTTTTGTCTCTCTGTCTCACTCTGTCTTTCTGGTGAGTACATGCACACTGTAGCAAAAACCTCTCTTAAAAAATTTTTTTTTCACTTATTTCTTTTTCCTTGAATCATGTTTCCTTATTCTGGATCAATTTTTCAGTTTAAAAATAAACTTTTTGATTAAAATGCAGCATGAAATGCACTACAGTCCCATAATCCTCTTCTATTAAATAATTTTGATTTGGAGGTTTAGACTTTTAATTTAGTAAAGTGCATAGAGAATACAAATTCAAAACCTTCCCTCAAATCATCTTTAGGAATGGATATATCATGCTGATTCATTTTTACTTCTAGAAAATTTCAAATATATAAGACTGGAGAGACTATTATATGAACCCCACGTACCCATCACCCAACTTAACAGCAATCAGTCATGACCAGTCATGTTTTTTCTGTATAACCCATTGTTGTGAATAATACTAAGTTTTTAAACTTGACAATTTAATTTTTACTTAGTTTAGGCACTTTGGAAATTCTACATCACCAAAGAAATTGCCGTACAGAAAATCAAGGAGTAAGGACTATGATGCATATAGTGATGATGATATCGGTGGTCAGGAACCGGAAGATAACTTTGCCAAAGAGCTCCAGCAGTACATACAAGCTAAAGAAATGGCAAATGCTGCTCAACTTTCTGAAGAATCTGTGAAGAAAGAAGGAGCAAAAGGTACCCAGCATGGTAAGGATCAGAATGTTTTATGATTTAAAGTTTACCTAGAGAAGCAGTCACAGTTGTCCAGATAGACAGGGAGTTTTTCTCTTGTGCTTTATCTCATGATAAGATTGTGGTGTTCATGGATCTTTATACCAGTGAGCCTGCCTGGCCTGAAACCTCACCTGTGACCTCACCGCTCGAGCAACACTCACTGTTTTCTGGAGTGGGTTATCAAAGGCCATGGCTGCTTCTAAAGAGACAATGCTAACTGAATGGCCTGTGCACATATGAAGGACAGGAGATACCTGTTTTTGTTTTTTAAAAGATATTTATATATATATATTTTATTTTTTTTTGCTATAGGGCCAATGTGCTTACCAGAGAGATGGAGACAGAAAGTGAGAAATCACCCCTTGGGGGAATGGCCACACCGCAATCTCTTCTCCATTCTCCTCTCAAGATTTCAACATGCATGTGCACACACAGTGAAAATTTAAGCCGCTGGGTCCGGGACTCTAACTGCGATCAGCTACGTGGAAGTCCAGTGATGTAACCATTATGCC